CGCAGAGCTTTCCAAGATGATTCGATATCATTGGTAATATTTACAGAATCAAGTGCAGCATCAAATTTGTCAGAGAGCTTAATTTTCATTTCAGTCAATTTAAGAGGCAGTATGTTAATGCACTTGGGCACTGTAGATTTTATAATCCTTCACTTTTGTAGATGCAGTGTAGATTTACTCCGAAGTAGAGCGTGATCTGACGGATAGCATGTTGCATGGAATGAACGCGTTATCTTAAAATCTCTTATGTCCCGTCTTTTGGTGATGACATAGTCGATCAGATGCCAGTCTTTTGAACGAGGATGCATCCACGTGGTCTTATGACAGCTGGGTTGCTGGTAGAAGGTATTAATAATACTAAGGTCAAATTCCTTGCAGATAGTGAGAATGCGTAATCCATTTGAATTCACACAACCAATACCATAGTGACCCAAAACGCCCTTCCAAGAATGATAATCATTGCCAACAGGAGCATTGAATTTACCTGTAAGGATTAATTTATCCTTATGTTGGACTTTGGAGATGACATCCAAAAGGAGATGGTAAAAATCATCTTTTTCTTGATCTGAACTATCTAAGGTTGGCATGTAGCAGCTAACCATCGTCACACAGGTGTTGCACTCCAGATTGAGGGTTAATGCCATTATACAGTCTGATACAGCTTTAGGTAAAGAAGGCGGTGAGCTAGCAAGGTCTGACTTGATGGCAAAGCCAACACCAGACTAGCATGGCTCTTTCTCAGTCTTGCCAGCCCATAAAAACATGTGTCCACCTTTTTCTTCCCTAAGCTGAGAATTACCAAAGAGACATGTTTAACTAATAGCCACTATGTCTTTGTTGTACTTCTTCAACTTGAGAGAAATGCTCTGGTGCACAATCATTGTCCTGGAGAGTGCGAACATTCCAGGATCCAAAATGAAAATTCTTCTTATATTCCTTTTGAGCTTTCTTGCTGTTTTGACTATGTTATTGGATAACCAGACAGCTGCAGTGGGCTGCAAATCTCTGTGTAAGCAAGCAATGTTTAGGGTTCCTTTTATTGCTGCCTCCCCATAATAGGGAAAGCAGTGAAAATCCTAAATAGGGCTGCTTTGTCACTGATGGGGGACACAGACCTCATAATTGCTAATGGCTTTGTGAAAGAACGACCATTACCCATCAGTCTGCCACTGTGTAGAGCTCTAGCTAGAGCCTTCCAGTAATATCCTTTACCTGACCCTGTCACTTTCACTCTCTCACCAGCGGACCTTGCAAGTGAACTGTGTGGATAAATATGCATGAATAAAGGTAAACCGCCAGAAAACTCACACAAGTGATTTGATTAAAGTGGTGAAGGCTTGTGCAGAACCATCCACACTTTTCGGAACTATTGATACACTCAGTTGGTGCAAATAAATTCCACAGACGAAGCAGACAATAGACCTCAGGCTTTTCCATGTAAGAGTTTTCCATCTCCTAGACCAGTCATGTTCTATAATACTAAAGAGCTTGGTCAGCTCTGGTAGGCACTTTTTGCCCATAACTGGGGCCCTAACAAGTGCTACCACCCCAGGTCAGGGCAGACCTGGGAACAACAGCAATTAAAAGGTGGTGCTTCTCAAATCCTCCAATCTCCTGATGAGAAGACTTGCTACCAGATGTAGTTTATCTTCATACCCAGAACATTATACATACATATATATATGTGTGTGTGTGTGAGAGATTTAGAGGATGGGTGAAGACCAGTTCTGCCCGTTACCCTTAAAGGTACAGTAGACGAGCAACAAAGGTACTACCCAATGCTCCCTATACACGTAATTTTTTTTTTTTGTTTTATACATTGGATGTTGGAGTAAACAATTCGAAATTAAATGTGTCAATATATTGCTATATATATATATTTTTAAATAGTATTAATAAAATAAATAAATATAAGATTATTATTAGAATATTTTATAATTATTATTATAAATGTTATATATATCTGATGTTATGAAGTCATACAAGATTGAAAGAAATATTCAATAGTTTAGAGATGTCTTCACCAAACACTCATTAGGTGGCACTGTTTAAGTCCATAAAAATACAAACATTTCCTTCCTCTCCTTACCTCTTGTTCCAAGATGTAGCAGTTCATAGATTCATATCAAACCAAAAATAGCATTTTGCTGCTATGACAATCCTTACTTTTCAGCCTTGACATAGTTCAATAGCATCTACTTGACCTTGTAGGTAATGAATTATCTTCCACTTTACAATCCCTTTCCCCATGACATAATGTTGCTCATCTCTTTCTACTCTATCACTATTTTCATAGCAAAGGTTCAGAAGAGCTACATTCCTTAGTTCCACGATTTCAGACCTTCACAGCTAGGACCTGTGATGTCACATACACAGAGCCAACTCTTGCACATTCCTTTCATATTCCATTGGTAAGGAGGAAGATCTACTGAGACAGCTTCTTCTTCAGACCTGTTATGCTATGAAACAGACTCTCGAAAGGATGCTTCACTGATGATTGGTTGGTTGATTTTGTTTTGCGGCATATCAACCACTGTGGGTTATTCAATGTCAAAATCTAAATATTTTGAACACAGTTTTATGGCTTCAACTCCAGATAAAATGCATTGCTGGATTTTGCTTTAAAAATGAATTGTTGGTAATTTTACTATAAATAGATACTGTTGGTAATTTTTTAATATAAAAATGCATTGTTGGTATTTTTACTATAAAAATGAATTTTTATACTTTTATAGTGTTTTTGTTTGCGGGGGGGTGGGGGGTCACTATTTGTCCATAGCAGGTGCTACCCCCTCAGTTCAGTGTGGACCTGGGCACAACAACAATTAAAAGGTGGTTCCACACTCCTCAATACCTCCAATCTCCTAATTAGAGACCTTGCTGTTGGATGCAGTTTATCGTCATACCCAGGACTTAAATGATTACAACAATCTTAACCTCTTCAAGTCTAGAGTCAACCTTTACCTATCCTACATATCCTCATAATTTGAACTTCTTATTTTCTCCTTTTATGTCCATACATCAATTTCATTCAGTATACCTCTGTTCTGAGTCACTCTTGAGTTTTATATTGACTAAACAACAGTATAAAAAAGCCTATTCTTTGGTTAGTTGTTTGTATGATGAAGTCATATAAAATAAAATATTTTTAGAAATTAAATTTTGTCTGGCATCATGTTAGACAACAAACAAATGCTCTTCAATATATTTTTAATTTTCTTCACACCCTAGTGGTAACTCTCATTCCATTAAATAGGGTTTCTGAAATAAATAGCTTTCATTTTTAAGTATCGGTTTTATTGTGTTTGTTGAGAGTGTTTTTTGTCTTTAGTAGGTAGACAAGATACTCTGAATTTTCTTTAAGATTCTTGGTTGAAGCATTTGAATTATTACACATTTTTTTTTATTTTTATTATTTGTCATTTTCAAAATTTTCTAAATCATTTTATCATAGTGTTTCTCGCAGATCCATTCTTTACTTACTGAAGAAAACACGAAATTTTAATTACTATACATGTTTTAATGAGATTTACATCTGAAGGACTGATTTTCATGGTTAAAGAAAGAGTAATAACAGCTATTGGCCTTAAGAAATCTATGTCCCTGAAAAATTGTTTTAAGAGAATGATTTATAAATTTCAACTAAAAGCAGTACTAGTTGATTGTTTAATGAATGCCAAAAGTTTCCTTATCGGGAAAGTGCTAATATTACTATTACCAAATCATAACTTGTACTTCAGATACTGAGAACTATTTAGAAAATTTAGTTTTTTTTTAGTTTTTTTACTATTCATTGGAACTAATTTAGTTTCTTTTCATTGCAGTGTTTTTTTGTTTGTTTGTTTGTTTTTTTCAGATCCATTCATTGCTTGCTGAAACAGATGGCATAAAATCAGAATTAATATCTTAAGACAAGATTTGAATTTCTGTCACTGTCTTGGAGAGCTAGTCTTTAATGAATGATGCCTTTGGCTATTAAGAGCACCACAACAGTCATGATTGAATCATAGTTCTTATCTGTAGCCATTCTACCAAGGTCTCTTGCTTCCAATTTATTTCATGCTATATTACAGCTATAGATGCATAGCATAGCATAGTGGCCATCAGCATGGAAAATGGGATTGGTGTGTAAAGTTCAAATTCCAATTGTGCTGCTATCAAGGAACAAAGACTTTAATGTGCATATATATATGCATGTGAGAGTTCAGTGGAAATGAACATGCCCCAGTGTGGGACGTTCTCATCAGCAGGTAGGAAGGTGACTTCTTAGCCACCAGGTGCAGAGCTGTAGCTTCACTGAATGTCAGTAGCTATTCCCAACATGTAGACTGCAAGGTTAATGCAGCAGCACTTTAGATATGCAGATGGTGGGGCAACACGGTCACAGTTATATGCTTCCCCTGAAATGAAAAGAGTTTCTTACCTCTTTCTGAGGAAAATCCACATTTGGAAAGAAACCTCAAAACAACACACACATTCACTGATGTTAGTCGATGAAGTACAAAGTTGAATAAACAATAATTTTACATATGTAACATTTAAAAATATAGTCTGTCTAATGATTATATTATTCTGTCGCAAGGCTACTTTTCACTTTTCAATGTCATATCAAAGGCGATGCAACTATTTTCTCAGCTGAGCAAAGTCAAACATCAATAGTGGAACACCTAACATGGATTGAACTATTGAATTAGTGGCAAAAATAGCTCATTAACCATCACTCAAAAACAAAGCCATAGTTTTGAAGAATTTGGGATAGATTTTGCAGGTTATTTAAAACCAGAAACTATTTTTTAGATTGTAAGAATTTTTTGTAGATAAAAATGGTTTTCTGATACAAGTTCTACTAATTATCTGAGGGGACAAAAGATATTCATACCTTTCCAAAGGTTATTTGTGTGTAAGTGTATATAACAAAACTAACTGGAATTAGAACACAGCTCTCCAACTTCTGATTCTGAGCCATTATCCATTTCACCACCCACACATCCAAGCTTATTGCACCTGTTATTCCCAAATGGTCACATATCAAGGTACTGGTCAGGTTCAATGTTGCTTAACTTCAGTGATCATATGAGAACCAATGTTTTGCCATGATATGGTCAAAAGCCAATTTAGAATCATTATACAGGTAAATATTTTCTGAACGTATCTTACCAGTGGATATTCTACACCACAGACCCTGATAACATCCAAGCTTACAGCATCTGGTACCCCAAGTGGTAACCCATCAAGTTACTGATCGGATTCAATGTTGCTTAACTTTGGCACTCATACGAGAACCAGTCTTTCAACACAATATGACTGTAAGCCAACTAGGGATAGAAATCCCTATCCATGTAAATATTTTCCGAATCTACCTTACCAGTGAATATTCTGCACCACAGTTCCTAATAACTTAATTTACTTTTATCAAGAACGAGGCCATGACAGTGTAATGAGAATCTAAAGGCTGATAATGAAAGTGTCACCACTTTACAATCAACATCCTGATAGTGTTTTTACTCAAGCTGCCATTAACTTTTAGAACAAATCTTTCCATTCTTTGACAAACCTTATTTTTATTCCCATTGGGTTGCTCATTACTCTCATCTTTCACACTGTGAGATTTGAGGAACTAGTTTCATCACTGTACATTCAATGTTTGAGACAGATTGTACTGAGTTACTACCAGCAGAAAGCAGGAATTGACAATCTTTGACACAATGTTAGGGAAATCTTAGAAATATTTATTCGGCTCCTTGTTGTTTGAGCATACTCTTTAAGGATAGTTTACAGAAAATGAATTAGTTTGGTTGATTTTGTTTAGTGGAATATCAACCTCTCTGGGTTATTTAATCTAAATATTTCAACTACAGATATTTTGTACATAATTTTATACTTTCAGGGTATAGGTATATTTTTAGATATAGTTTTGTAGATCATAAAATGTATTGTTGGTAATTTTAGTATAAAATGTATTTTTATATTTTTTTTTTTAGTTTTGCATTGATATCATATTATTTAAACAAGTCACTAAACCCCAAATATATGTCTGCTATGTAGACAATATTTTTATTTTCGCGAAAATCATAGAAATAGATCATCTCAAATCTACATTTGAAAAAAAACTCTGTCCTTAACTTTACCTAAGTCAAAAAAATAAACTCCCATTCTTAGATATTCTCATAGAACACAGTAACACTTTTATGACCTCATTGTACAAAAAACCCACTAGCAGAAACTCTTGCCACCTTAATTTTAAGACTGAATTCCCACTTAGATACAAAATAGCAGTGATAAAAAAATTTCCCAAAGAGAGAACATCAGAATTCATCCTCTTATCTACTTTTCCTTAAAGAAGGCAACAATGCAAAACGGACACTAGTTAACAATGGTTTTCCTAACTACCTCATCGATCATCAGATTATACTATTTCTTTCCAAAGTAAATGATAATGATACTGAACACACAGGCAAAAACAATAACATAAACATCTTCTACAAAAGTCAAATGCACACCAACTATAAACAAGATGATTTTTCACTTAGAAATATCTTAAGAAAATACACAACCCTAGTTGATATGAATGAAAAAAAATATATCTATTATAAAAAATTTAAAATGGCTAACCTTTTCTTCAACAATAACAACACACCTCAAGACTACAAAGAACCAACATTATTTATGAGTTCAAATTCACCTTAAGGAACTGTGTTCTTGATTAAACCAAACTCATAATTACATTGGTTACACTACTACATCCCTATCCAGAGACCTTATGTTACACCTATCCAGCCACGGTTCCATTAGAACTCATTTAAACAAACGTACAAAGCTACCAGACTCCATCCGAAACATACTAGTAGAAAATACAAACATAATAACCTCATCCACATATAAAAAAAAAAAAAAGAATAAAAATAATGGAAGCCCTAATAATAAAAAGAAAAAGCCAATATTCAATAACATTAACTATGAACATGGCCACTATGCATTGACCATGTTTGAAAAACAAAACATTATTATAACTCTAGATGCATATACACAACTAATACTTTCAGTTAAAAGATGAAAATAAAATCGTCCTTGACAATGGCTAAAAGTATGGCTGAACATGCATGGAAATGCAGAACATTTGCAGTTTTTACACACTTTGTGTCCAGAAAAGAAAACACTTGTACCAACACAAGAACAATTGAATAAAAAGCTTGAATCACAGTACCTTGTCAGTCCTCTTTTAATGAACCATATATAAAAGAGAGATTGATGCCTAAATACACAATTATATATATATATATATATATATATATACATATGACTTTTTTTATCCAGCATTATTTTTATTACTATAAACATTAGTTTTAATAGGTACAGATGTTTGAATTGCTATCCATGTTTTGTATTTTTATTTTCTTAAATGGTAAAATTAATAAAATATTGATACTTAGTGCTATCCACAGACAGGGTAGATAAAAAGATAGACTGATAGATAATAAAAGAGAATAAGAGTTAGTATATATATATATATATAATTTTTCTTATTACTATAAGCCTTATTTTTAGTGGGTACATGTGTTTGAGTTGCTATCCATGACATTTTATTTTCTTAAACAATGCAGAAAAGAAAAAGGAATAGCAACTGAAACACTTGAAGCCAGTAAAAATAATGTTTAAAGTCATAAGGAATATATACCTTTTTTGTAAACATAACCCTTTCTATGTCACAATTTCTCATCACTATTTTTCTGGTGGCATAAGAATCATAATTATCAAAATTTGAATAGAATATTATTTGATTTTGATATTCTGGAAATGGTGACCATTGCAAGAAAATGTTTCATATTTTAGAATTACCAGTTAATTCAAAATTGCCATTACTTTTTGATAGCATGGCTCAAAGAATACTGAAAATTTATAAAAGAGGTGATTCTTCATCCATCATACACTGTCCTTTTGTGACTTTGCATGTATGCATCTAATGATTATGCATATGACAGTGTTGTATGTGAGTGACTTACATGTGCTATGCACACAATTTAACTGAGTTTAAAATATAAAAAAAAATAGAATAATACAATTCCCTCTTAGTCAGTCTTGACAGCCTTAACTTTAGGCTGAATTATAAAATCATGAAGTTGGGGACAAGAAAAAAAATTAATTCTATAAACTCTAAAAATGAGATAATTGTAAGGCTTTATTGAATTTTTTAGAAATTATTCATGAATAAATAGAATTATTTTTTAAAGCTTTTTTAAAAACATCTTATAGAAATATTTTTAGGTTTGTTATTCAAGTAAAATGTACACATTCACATACAGACATACACACACAATTAGAATGGAATTGAAATAGAGATCTGTGTTGTTAGTGTTAATATCTCTTTCTGTCTGACAACAACATGTGGGTAACAGGTAAAGTGTACATGCCAAAATGTGTTTTGCTTCAAAGTCATTTTTATGACTCCTTCTGTATTTAAACTGAAAATAATTTGTAATAAATGTCTCCTTTTAAATGGACAAGTAAATTAGAATTTAAAGACATCTTAGAGGGACAGAACTTGTCCTAACTATCATAATCATCATCATAAGTCTTAATAAGATATCTGTCTCATCTTAAATGTTACATTTAGTGTATGGATTGTATATGTAAATGTAACAGTTATGATGACACATCATTATGTAGTTTTTTTTTTGTTTTTTGTTTTTTTTTAATAATGCAATGTCCCTTCGTGGCAAAGATGGTGTAGGGATACAAATGGTAATTGTCTCCTTTTCATTGAGATTGATGGCCAGGGAATGATATCAGGGGATGAAGTGATGAATGGAGTTATGATGTAGAACCTGAAGGACGACATACCTCACCCGCAGCAGTAAGTCTTACAGGAAAAACCACATGGCGTCACCAGGTTCATAGAGAAACCACTGTAACTCCAGTTTTCTTTTTAGAAAATGTTACAAGTTTCCCCCTTTTTTATACACTGCTTTTTGTTGAATATGTTATTTTCCTACATGGGACACATGTATATATGTATATATCTAACTTTGGGTACAACATAGCATTATAAGACTCTCTCCAAGAACTAAGAAAGTTTGTCATGCTTTTTCCCTTTAGTTATTTCATTATGCCTGTGAAGTACAGTGTTATTATATTACTAGCAGTAGAGCCAAACGTTGCCCGGGGATGTAACAGTAAGAGATAGATCAAGTATCGACCATCTTAAAGACTGAAAAATAAAATTGACAAAGATTATTGTTTAAGGTTGACAGACACGCATGTCTTAATTAGTTTTTTTTTTTTTTTTTTTTTTTTTGTCAAACTCAAACAAAAACATTGTTTTCAATTGTTATGAGTCTACCGATTAAATAGAATTTTATTATAAACAATTGTCTTGTAAATGGAATTTTTTAAAGCATTCTGAATGTAAAAATAAAAAAAAAAAAAGTGTGCAAGACAATAAGAAACACTACCTGCCAAAAAAAAGTGAAGTTTTGTTGAAATCTGTTGAAAAATGTAGGAAATCCGATCCCATATATAAACGAACACACACAGACAAACAACCAACCTGGGTTTTATAATAAGTATAACTCAATAACTTGATATTAATAAGTATAACTCAATATGAGTTGTCCCCCTCTCATTAATGCCTCTTAATCGTGTTTTCAAATTGATTTCGTGCAAAAACAATTGTTTTTCCAAATGTTGGCACTGTCAGAACCACTGCAAGATACTTTTACATAGTCCTGTGAAGTTTTGTTGAAAAATGTAGGAAATCCGATCCAATATATAAACGTACAGAGACACACACACAACCTGGGTTTTATAAGTAAGATGGCTATAATCATGCACATAATGGGGGAAATTCAAATGAGTGAATAAATCTTTCTTTTATAGCAACCTTCCATTATAATGTCAATTCATATTGAGGTCAAAGGTGAAATGCTAAAATTAAGGCTCACTTTACAATCTCTCATTCTTTAACTAACCAACAGAGAAAGTTCAAATTATCTTCATTTTTTTTTTTTTTTTTTTTTTTTTTTTTTTTTAATCTCTTAATTCCTTGAATTTACACTTTCTTTCAAGAACTATCTTTGAAATTTGTACCACTCTTTTGTTCGTCTATGATGACCCTGAACCTTATAACATCAATGGTCTTATCACTTAACAGGTTTTTTTTTTTTATCTGTGAGTTACCATAATTTCTTTGGAAATATAGTGGAGTGGTTTCCTTTCACATTCTACAAAAGTTTCTGAATTCAAAATTTTCTTTCTCTGAGACTGGCTACCCTCCAAGATTACACATCAAAGCATATCCTGTCATTTCACCCATTTAGGTGAGTAGAAATAGATTCATGCCTTTCCCAAGGGATTGGTGTGAAAATGAATGCAACAAACTAGGATGGGATTTGAGCTCTTTTTGCTGATTCCCTTTCCATTTTGCTACTTGCATATTCCTGACATTATTTTCAGTTAACAATATGAAAATAGCGTTTCTCTACATTCTTCCAATTGATAAGAACATTCTGCTTTTTGTTATTATTGGTTACTTTCCTTAATTAAATTCATTTTGTTTTTTGCTTTGAGAAAGTCCACATTGGACGAAACGTGTCAGCAATAACTACAGTTTTCCTATTGTCATTTATATTTATAAATATTCCTTTAAGTTCATCATTGTTCTATTAATCCTAATTATCATAATTCTAATTTTCATGAAGTTATTATAATTGCTTTTATTATAATAATTTTTATATTTTTCTCTACCTCTCTTCAATGACATTATTATTATTATGATTATTATTATTAGATGTGTGGGAGGTGTAATGGATAGTGGCTCAGAACCAGAAATCAGAAATAAGTTTGAATTCCAGTCAGGTTTCATTACATTCACTTTTATGCAAATAAGCTTGGGAAAGGTATGAATCCATTTCTTCTCCACCCAGCTATGGGTTAAATAGTAGGACAGACTGGCTCTTTTCACCCTTGGTTGGAAACCAGTGAAGGAGAACAACTTTGTATTCAAGATTATATGAAGCACATACTAGGCAGCTATAATGGCATTTCGTACCAAAAGGCTAGTGGAGTTTACATTGACTCTGTGACCCTGAAGATGCAAATGAATGAAGTGCAATAATTACTGATTAATTAAAGGAGTGCATCCTTTAATTAATCAGTAATTATTGCACTTCATTCATTTGCATCTTCAAACAAGTTAACCCTGGAAACTTACAGTACCTTTTATCAGTATTATTGCAGACTCCAGTACAGCAGTGGTCTGTATTGCAGGAATCCTTGTTTATATAGAAAACACATGTGTCCTGGTATTATTTTTCCCATAATAATTATTACAGACTTGAATGTGAGTCCAAGTAATAAATGAGTAATACAAAACATCAAACAACGACAAATAATGTATTAACAATTACAGTAAAAAAAAAGGAAACATTTAAAAACTAGATTCATAAAACGTTTAAATTAGAGAATGTGTGAAGTTTGTGTAGACTTGCAACTATATCTTATAACCAGAATTGTAAAAGAGGAAAGAGAATCAGTGAGAATATCATGTCCTATTTATAGGCTTAAGGAGCATCCCCTAGTGACAGTTTTTTTAGTCAAGTGTGATAACCCACATCTGTAATTTTAATCTTTCTTCAAATCTGCAAGGTATCCAGTCTTGTATTTTTGTTACCATTCTAAGTATACCATTTATTATGGGCACAGACCTAACCCGAACATTCCCCAAATTTTCCCACTTCCCAAAAAGATGCTTGATTTTTCATTCTTTTTTTTTTTTTAAAATACTAGAGTTTACCTAATACAAACCCCAAAAGCCATTCAAGTTAGGTTACATTCAAAATGGTTATGAGAAAAGTTTGTGATGTACAGGATAAAAGAGGGGACAGCAAGTGACAGTAAGGTGGATAAATGATTGACACTTGACCTGAAGAGGTTAAGATTGTAATGTTTAGGAAAGTGTTTACACAGGTATCTGTTCCACAAAGTGGTTTTTCATAGCAAAAAGCTGTCTGAGTGGAACTTGACCTTTCATTTGGGATACAGGAGAAATGAGGATGATTCAGTTCCATGGAAGTAACTTCATTTTATTTGCACTATTTACATTCAGACTATTGTCATCATCTTTGTTATTGTTCTGACAGTGTTTCATCTGTTGTGTCCTCTGGCCATCATCAGGTGCATATTGATCATGTAGGTTAAATAGTGTAAATAATGACAACTTCTCATCATTGAAATTCAAACATTTAAATTTTGACATTAACTTTCTGGAACTATATATTTACCATTCTGTTAGACTTATTAACTCCCAAATTATTCAGACACTCAAAATTCTTCTACTTATAGTTGCTGTTCTTAGCATAGTGTTATCATTCTTCAGCCTATTTCAAGTACAATCTGTGATTTAAAGGTAACTTCTAACTTCAGTCATGTGTTTAGTTCTTAGTTCATATTAACTAAAACATTTCGAGAACTTTGAGAAAAGACCTTAATATTTTTTTTAATCAATTCACCACTCTGATCAAATTATATGTGCAGGTTGTTTGGCTGTTTGATTCTAAGGACTGAGCTACTCAAGTAGCTCAGTGTCAACCCTCACATATTGAAAAACAACACGAGAGTCCATATACAGCACTATAGCATGAACGGGGCCATAGGGGTGATTGCCCCTTGTGTTAAATTTTTAGAGATAGGAAAAAATTAATTAGGTTGAGATAATACATATGAAACTATAATTTATGACAGGAGGTGAATTTAGATTGCTCCGAGTGCTCAAAACCCACCCTAGCCACTTTCCACATTTATTCTGAACAAGGATTTGAAACCATAGAACATAAACACTAATTTGAAAAAGAAAATCCTTTTCGATCAACACTTTTTCAAAGGTAACAGTTGGTACAAATCTGATGATAAAATATATATTGTCATCCACAGACACACTGTTTCACTGCATCACAGCTCATCAGTGTGGCTACATGTCTGGTTGCCTCTTGTTAAGATTGAAAACCGGCTGAATTGGCACCAGTCAGAGAATCTACTCCTAAGCAGTTGGCTCACAGCAGGGATGAAGGTGAATTTAAGTGTATTTATTTTTAGATAAAATTCTCTCTTATTATCACCCTACAATTGTATTGAGACCTATTTTTAAATTAATGTTGTGAACGTTTGAATTTATATTTCATTCATTCTCATTTCATATATATATATATATATATATATATATATATATATATATATAAAAAAAAAATTTGGAAAAAAACATACAAAAATCCTTAAATGCAATTATGTTGTTTAAAATGAATGAAATGTCGACGTCTGACGTTTCGGTTTAATAAACCTTCTTCAGGACAATATTCATTAAAATACAATTCAGTTCAATTTGACAAAGACGATGGACATAAAAACAAGTCTTATCCAAAACAGATAACTGAAAATTTTTGAAATGATCAGCTTTCCGTTTAGCATGGTCACGTTGTCGTCACATGTGTGTGTGTTTTGAAAATATATAGAAAATAGGAAAAAAACTTAGGTAAATAATGCAAAGTTCTTTAGTATTTTTGTTATTAAATAAATAATTATATATATATATATATATATATATATATATATATATATATATATCCTTGTCCTGTGGATGAGGAGAGGGCTCCAGATGAGACAGATATGTTTTTCTAAACTGTGTGTAGGAGCTTGTGTCACTGCCTCTTCTCCTCATCGCTGCAAATTGATTGTCATCTGTCATCAGGTAATCCTTGAATTTTAGGTTTACTGCCACATTGAAACACCTGTTCCTATTTGATCACTGAAGTTAAGCAATGTTGAGCTTGGTCAGTACCTAGATGGGTGACCACTTGGGAATACCAGATGCTGTAAGCTTAGAGGTGTGAGTGTTGTAATGGATAATGGCTCGGATCTGTTAATCGAAGAGCTGAGTTCCAATTCTAGTTAGGTTCATTATATTCATTCATGCACAAATACCCTTGGGAAAGGTAGGAATCCACCTGATCTCCTTTCAACTGGAATAATAATGAATTATCCCATCCTTCCTATTTCAAAAATAACCACCCTGTATAAAAGGCTGTTTAACTACTAACAACCAGTTTAGAAAAATAAAGGTGATATTCAGTGTTGTCTATTCATTACACAAACTATGGGTTAATTAGTAAGATTTGTATTAGTAAAGTATTATCTTAAAAAAATTCTTGTAAACTAACAATATTTTCCAGTTTTGCATAACCAGTGAAGTGTTGATAAAGCTTAACAAAAAAAACAAAAAAAACGTATCAATCAATCTGATGGATTAACGAATGGGATCTTCAGAAGCCAATGGTGATTGATTGATAACAGCACAAAAACAAAGTAAAACAGTTGATTTTCTACAATTTTTTTTACTTCACATTCATTTTTTTTCTTTTTACTTAAAAATATCTGAGGTGAAAAACTTGACTCGCCCATATTTTCAGAAATTACCAAAATAAAACTTTACTATCATCTGTACTGAATAAAAATGTAGATTTCTCGCCCATATTTCACCTCAATATATATATATAAATAAAATATATATATATATTAAAAAGAAAGAAGTTAATGTATTGAACAAAAAATATTCCACTTTGTTTTACATGAATTTCGACAATTTTTTTTCTCGCATATGTAAAAATTCCAAAGTCACCTTTACATAGATTAAAATAATTAAGACCAGAAACATGTTCAATGTGAAATTATGTAAAACTCAATAAATCCACATTACAAATTGCAAAAACGTTTACATTTCATACCTTGGAACCACTACAACATATTTCCTTATATATATATATATATATATATATATATATATATATATATATATATATATATGTATTTTTTTTTCCTCTGATTGTTCGACACCTCATCAATCTGCATTTTCTGACAGAAAGACTTAGGGTTAAGAAGTCGTACTACAAAAAGTAAAGGCAAAACGCAATAATAGGAATAATTCTCTCAATGTCATTGTCATATGTTCAATAACTTTGAAAGAAAAACCATCCTTTTCCTCAGATATTGGTTAAAAGACTTTATAAAGGATTTGTATTAAATATCTAATTAGGGAGATTAGAGATAATAATAAAATTTGGATCAAAAATCAAACTGTTTTCTTCTATTAATTTTTTTTTATAAAGTCAATGAATGATTTTAAATAATTTTTTATATATATAATCGTAAATGTCAAATTTATCTACGCAGTGAAAAATTAGTAATTCTCACAGAGTTGCTTCCCCTACAACGTGAGAGTTCCTGATCGTGCGTATGTCTGTATGTTCGTTACAGTAAACTCAGCGCAATTTCTAATGCATACGGCTCACAGATGGGGATTTTCTTATTGACTGTTTCGAGATCAATCCTCTTTAGCAGTACTTTTTTTTTTTTTTTTTCTTTTTCGGAATCTTTAATGTTGACTGTTTTTTGGTAACATCTTCTTGTCTGTGCCGTGTCCCTTCAGGTCTTGGGCAATGACAGCTCACCACAATTTCCTGTCCTTGGTAACTCAATAAAATTTATCTTTTTTGCTATCTCTCCTAATTCCTGTTCTATCAACCATTTATACAAGCTCGTTAGGTAGGTTATGCACTGCTGTCTCTCTTGCCTTTAAAATCAAGTTGAAACACTAGTTCCCATAAGATGAACAAAGTTAAACAATGTCAAACCTGGTCAGTACCCTGATGGGTGACAGCTTGGAAATATCAGATGCTGTAAGCTTGGATGTGCAGGTGGTGCAATGGATAATGACTCAGAATTGTTAATCGGAGAGCCAAGTTCCAATTCTTCTTTGGGCCATTACATATACTTATGCACAAATCCAGATTTGTATCACTAAACCATTATTATCTCCAAAAAACTTCTTAAACTCTAAAAATATTTTCTGACTTTAATATAGTTGATAAGCCATAGAAAATGAATCAATCAGTGCCTTGTGAGTGACAAATTTTCTCAACCTTCTTTTTAACTCTTTTTGATGCTAAGCATAAGTGTCTTTTTTGTTTCCATTTTCTCTAAAACTTTGCTGTTGCTCACATGTTCAGTCAATGGTATTCTCAGGATCCTTCTGTAGAACCCATTTCTGTTGCTTCAAGACTTTTATTAATCTGTGAGGAGATTGTCCAGCATTCACTGCCATATAGGAAGACCGACCTTACATAAAAGTTTAACAACTCTTTTCTTTGTTTCTAATGGAATTTTCCTGTTTGTTAATACTTTGCTTATTTTTTAGAAGGCAACTTTTGCAATCCCAATGCACCATCAGATTTTGGTGTTGCATTTTTCATCCTCTGTTAAAACACTTTCTTGATATTTAAATTTTTAGACTTGCTTAATTTTGACATTTTACTGTGAATATAATCTAATTTAAATTTAATTATCTAAATAACAGTGGTGTACCAAGAGGAGTGGGGCCAGTGAAAGGTCTTCAGGTGTGTATGGCGTCCTGAGTAAGATGATAAACTACATCCAGCAGCAAGGCCTCTGATCAGGAGGTTTTGAGGAGCGTGGAACCACCTCTTAATTGCTGGTGTTCCCATGTCCACCCTGACCCGGAGTGGTAGCACCTGTTAGGTTCCCATCTATGGACAAATAGTTAACTATTACCAGCAATAGTATTTTTGAAAAATATTATTACCAGCAATACAGTTTTGAAGGAAAAATATTATATTGACAAAACAAAATATTACCAGCAATAAAAAAAATGGCAGTATTAATAAAACAAAATAAACCAAACTAATCTAAACTAAAGAATACATATTCTATTCATACGAATCTATCCTAAAAATGATGTCGGCATTAAATAACCCACTGAGGTTGATATACCATAAAACAAAATAAACCAAATCAGGTATGGATGAGAAATGGAAAAAAATTTCCTCTGGCCTTTCATATCGGTAACACTTGAAATAGACCAGGGTGCTTAGTATCTGGGGGCACCTGTCATGTATCTGAGACTGTGGGACTTGTTAATAAACAGATGGGAAATGAATAAAACAATGCAAACAGTCAAAATTCAAAACCTCTATCTTTGTGTTGGCCATATGAAACTTCAATGAGTTTAGTAACCAAGTAATACTTTCAATAAAGGATTCATAGATTTTGAACATAAAATGTGAAATTCTTTTATATGCCATGTCTCCTCAGAATGTGAGCAATCAGGGTTCTCCACAATCCCCTCTCTCTGTTAATTCTTTGTTTTTATGCCATCCCTCCCAGGCCCTGTTCGGCTATCCTTTTACACAAGCTTTTCAGGTAGATAGCCTGCTGCCTTACTCAGTCAGTTATGTGCCATGCGTGATACACACTTAGGCGATCCTGTAACTTTTGATACAAGACTGACAAAGCAGATTATTTCCTGCAGTAAATTGCTATTTCTTCCTGCGGTAGACCAGTTGCCATCCAAGATTATAGAACCTGGTCTGTCCTGCTATTTACCCATAGCTGGAGGGATAAGAGGATTCATACCTTTCCCAAGGGTATTAGCATGTAAATGAATATAATGGATTCAAATGGAATTCAAACTCGACTCTCCAGTTCCTCAATTCGAACCGCTATTCATTACTCCATCATGCAAGTTTTAAAATAGCATCCATTCTGTCATAATACTTAATAGAGCAAGCAAGCTTTATATTTCAAAATCTTCTGTGCATCATTTCAAGATATGGGGGATCACGGTTCTCCACAACTTCCAATCTTTTCACTCCTCATTCTGCCATCCATTCATGGTAGGTAGATATCCTACTACTTCTGCTTGTCTTTTTTGCTTTCGATGTGTCCTATGAGTGTCAAATTCTTCAAGCCCTCCTTTCTGTGTCCAAGAAATTTCAGATATCTCTTTCTGATTCTGAGTATTAGTATCCTTTTTGCTTCCTTTTTCTTAAGACTTCTTTGCTTATGCATTCCATCCATGATAATCTCAGAATCCTTCTTTAGATCCACATTTCTTTTGCTTTCACTTCACCTCTGAGGAATTTGTCCAGCATCCATTGCCATATAGAGGGATTTATACTACGTAACAGTTCGGTACTCTTTTGTTTTGTTTCTTTCTAATGAAAGTTTCCTCTTTCTTAATAGTTTGTTTAGTTTTTAGAAGGCATCTTAGCCAAAGGATACAATAGAAATCTCAAAATGCTATTGACCTGATGTTCACCAAAGAATTGACTAATGGAAAATAGAAATGGTGCCTATTTGTCTCATCTTTTGACAGATCAAAACATTTTCCCATGTTTTTCAGAAAATTTAGCTATCAGCCAAAATTCTGAAAGAGTTAGACTGTATAGTGTTAGTCTCTTGGCAAAAGGCACCAAAGAATAGTTGCTTCTTAAAGGAAAAAAAAAGCCATTAACCAGAAAGCAAAATGAAAAGTAGTTTCTGAATTCCAACTTCTTTTTATTATCATTTGTTTCCTAAAATAAAGATTAATGAATATTTCAAAGACAGAAAACTTCAAGGAAAATGCTTTGGTTTAGAAAATAGCTCACCAGTTGATACTGACAGATCAAAATTATAAAGAGAAAATAAAAAATGTAATATATTGATAAGAAAAGTTATACAAACTGAGTTTCCTTCTATATTTATGATTTCATATGGATATGGTGAAGATGTTTTCCTAAATTTAGGAATAACTATGCTTTTTTTGTTGTTAAATGGGTTTTCTGTTGTTAGTTGCAAAAGTTTCATCAGTAAGTTTAAATTATTTCTTATGAACTTGAAAACGTTTTTGACTCAAGAATGACAGTGACTTGGCAATATTTAATAATGAAAGAGACGTATTGAAGATCTGCAATTTTGGTAATTGAATTGGTGTATTTTCAGTAACAAAAGTACTAAAGGTTTGTGTTGCTGTGAAAAGTTTTT